GCTGAGTGCTGGTGGCTCATGCCTGTAATCCTACTCAGGAAGTTGAGATCTGAGAATCAGGATTGGAAGCCAGGCAGAAAAGACCCCGTGAGACTCTTATTTCCAATAAACTACTCCAAAAAGCTGAAAGCAGGGGCTGGGAAGGTGGCTCAATGGTAGAGCACTTGCCTTGCATGCCTGAGGCCCTGGGTTCGATTCCTCAGCACCACATAAGCAAAAAGAAAAAAGCCGGAAGTGGTGCTGTGGCTCAAGTGGTAGAGCCTTGAGCTGAAGAGCTGAGGGACAGCACCCAGGCCCAGAGTTCAGGCCCCACGACCAGACCAAAAAAAAAAAAAAGCTGAAATCAGGGCTGTGACTCAAGTGGTAGGTAGAGCACTAGCCTTGAATACAGAGGCTCAGGGACAGTGCCCAGGCCCTGAGTTCAGGACTGGCAAAAAAAACAAACACCCACTACAAACTCCCCCTACCAAAAACACAAATACCCTCCCTCTTTAGGAATTCTGAGCCAATCTCAGCCTCCCTAGGTAAATAGCTTTTTTCATTAAGACTTTTTAAGTTGAGAAGGGTTAAAGTTACATAAGTCAGGTAATGAGTACATTTCTTTTTGAACAGTACTACTTCTTCCCTTGCTCTGTTTTCTTCCACCAATCTAGATGTCTGGAACCACTCAAGGTGGACTATGGTTTCCAACTTGCCAGACAGTATAATTTGTGCCTACAAGTGAAAAAGGAATCCAGAGAGAATTTTCAGCCAAATGGGAAATCTACAGGCATTTCCTTGGAATAACCTTCGGCAAATGACTTCACTTTTCTAGGGCAGGTTTTTTATCACCGGTCAAAATGAAGAGACTAATTTGCATGGTACCTAAAGTTCTTCAGCTTTGAATTTCAATAATGTTGAGCATATAGTTTGAGTGTTTATCTCATCCTTGCTCAGCACTGGACAGAGGCCATTAAAATTACAGATATTCAGTATATTGCTTGTAAAGGAATCTTTTTTGTTTTGGGCCTGAACTCAGCCTGGGTGCTGTCCCTCAGCTCTTCAGCTCACGGCTAGCACTCTACCACTTGAGCCACAGCTCCACTTCTGGCTTCTTCTGATTATGTGGTGCTGAGGAATTGAACCCAGGGCCCCCTGCATGCAAGGCAAGCACTCTACCACTAAGCCACCTTCCCAGCTAATTGAATCCTTTCTAAAAAGGATTCCAATGTATACTAAGAAATGATTTGGGACAGGAGGTGTGGTTCAAGTGATACAGTGCTTCCTAGTAAGCACAAGGCCCTGGATTTAAACACCAGTACCACAAACACAAAAAGAAATTATTTGTAGTTGTAATGCCTCCAACAGCATTTTACATCTTCTTCAGAAATCTTGACTACAGAACAGCCTTTTTGATTGATTTGACTTAACATTAAACCTGCCTATCACAGATTATACCCATTCAAATTTTAAATTTATCTCCAGGCACTGATGGCTCATATCTGCAATCCTTCCAACTCAGGAGGCTGAGATCTGAGGTTCAAAGACATTCATGCAGATAAATGAGAGACTATTTTTTTTGTTGGTCCTGAGGCAAGAACTCTGGGCCTGGGTGCTGACTCTGAGATTTTGTTCTCAAGGCTAACACACTACCACTTGAGATATAGCATCATGAGGTTAAAGGTGTGGCTCAACTGGTAGAGTGCTTGACTAGGATCCTAGCATAAGGCCCTGAGTTCAAACCCCAGTACCACCAAAAAGAAACAAAAACCGGCTTTAATTTTGGGCTGGGAATGTGGCTTAGTGGTAGAGTGCTTGCCTAGCATGCATGAAACCCTGGGTTTGATTCCTTAGTACCACATACTCAGAAAAATCCAGAAGTGGTGCTGTGGCTCAAGTGATAAGAGCATTAGCCTTGAGCTGAAGAGCTCAGGGACAGTGCACAGAATTCAAGCCCCACGACCAACAACAAAAAGCACTGTCATTAGGACTGTAAGGCATTTGATGTTGCTATAATTTCTTAAGAGTGCACTGGCATGGTGTCTTAAACTCAGGGCCTTGCACTCACTTAGCTCTTTCTCTTCTTCCTTTCTTCCCTCTCTCCTTTTTTGTTTCTTTCATGACAGTCCTGGGGCTTGAAATAAGGGCCTGGGCACTGTACCTGAGTAGTTTTTGCTCATGGCTAGCACTCTACCACTTGAGCCATAGTTTTACTTCTAGCTTTTTTGGTGGTTAATTGGGAGATAAGAGTCTCATGGGGATTTTTTTCCTGCCTGGGCTGGCTTCAATCCATAATCTTCGGATCTCAGGCTTCAGAGTAGCTAAGATTATAGGTGTGAGCCAGCAGCACCTGGTTTTCCTTTAGTATTTGTCAGTCATGGGGCTTGAACTCTGGGCCTGGGAACTGTCCCTTAGCTCTTCAGCTCAGTGTGAGCGCTCTACCATGGAAGACAGCACCACTTCTGGTTTTCTGGTTGTTGATTGGAGATGAGTCTCATGGACTTTCCTTGCCCAGGCTGGCTTTGAACTGTGATCCTCAGATCCCAGCCTCTTGAGTAGCTAGGATTACAGGTGTGAGCCACTAGCACCCAGCTGTCCTTTAGTATTTTAAAGTATCTCTCATTAGGCACATAATCAAAAACTCCAAATTTAAGCAGGGCATGGTGTCAGATATCTAGAAATCCTACCACTCAGGAGGCTGAGGCAGGAAGATTATGATTTCAAGGCCCACCTGGAGTATATAGTGTTTGAGGCCTGCCTGGACTAAACAATTAAGTCCCAATCTCAAACAAAACAAAACAAAAGAACAGATGGACACTGGTGGCTCACACCTGTAATCCTAGCTACTCAGGAGGTTAAGATCTGAGGAACATGGTTTGAAGCCAGACAGTCTGGGCAGGAAATATCCCCATGAGACACTTCTTTCCAATTAACCACCAGAAACTGAAAGTAGAACAGTGGCTCAAAGTGGTAGAGCACTAGCCTTGAGCAAAAAGAACTCCAGGATAGTGCCCAGAGTTTAAGCCCCATGACCAGAAAAACAATAACAAAACAAACCCCAAACCAAGACAGACAAATAAACAGAAAACTGTCAGAAATTAGGTTGTAAAGTTTATTGACAGAGTCAAAAAGAACACAGCCAGACATTTGGTTATCTTTGCCACTATAATGTATCATTACTAGAAAAAGGAAATTAAGACTCTACTTAAGGCACTTCAGATAAAAGCCAATTTTCAATTTTCCACAAAAGTAACACTTTTTTTTAAGTGTAGTTCATCTGCTTTTGTACAGACTCATCCAAAATGCTGCCCTTCTCCTTACAGAAGAAAATGTGCTCTTTGAAGAGGAGACAAAACAAACACAGAATCCCTGTTATTCATTCAGTGACCATGGCAAATAGCTGAGCTATACAGACTGCACGGTAGTAATGTTCCTTGGGACCCAACAATCAGGGCATCTTAATACAGGTCTCATAATAATAACAGCACAAATAAATATAGCCTGAGACAAGTATGAGAATCGCACATGAGAAATTGAGAACCACCTAATTACAGGAAAATAATTAACAAAAGGTGGCTCTATTTAAGAGCAAAAGGCCAACTGTATCCCCCCCTTTCCACCAAATCCACTACAGAATCCCACATATAGTTATCTCCACTCCATCCACAAAGCTCTCTTGCATAAGACACTTCTACCACATGACGATTGTTTAATGGTAAATAGCAAGAGACAGTCATAGTATGTTTCTTTTGTTTGTTTTTGTGCAGGTTCTGGAACTTGAACCCGAGTCTGGTTACTATCCCTGAGCATTTTTGTGCTCAAGTCAAGTGCTCTACCACTTCCGGCTTTTTGGTGGTTATTTAAAGGTAAAAGGCTGATCGACTTTCCTGTCTTTGCTTCAAACAGCAATTCTCAGATCTCAGTTTCCTGAGAAGCTAGAATTATAGGCATGAGCTACAGGTGTCTGGCTCACAGTATGGTTTTAATGTAATACCTTTAAGATTATTTTTCACAATTATAATTCTCATACTTTTTCTTTTTGAGGTGTTGGGGATTAAACCCAGGGCCTCACTCATACTAGGCAAGCCCTCTACCATGAGCTACACGTCAGCCCTCCCACTTTCCCAACAGTGGCATTTCAGGTTACTCTTCATAACTATGTGGGAGGCTCTAATTACATGAATAATGAAACCATGGATGGATATTCCACACAGAATTGTGTGTGTGTGTGTGTACATTTTTTTTCCTTGTCGGTCATGGGGCTTGAACTCTGGGCCTGGGCACTGTCCCTCAGCAATTCAGCTCAAAGCTAGCGCTCTACTACTTGAGCCACAGCACCACTTCTGGTTTTCTGGTGGTTTATTGGAGATAAGAGTCTCACGGACTTTCCTCCCTGGGCTGGCTTTGAATCGTGATCCTCAGATCTCAGCCTCCTGAGTTGCTAGATTACAAGCATGAGCCACCAGCTCCCAGCTGTGTGTACATGTTTTTGGTGCTGGTACTGGAGCTTGAACTCACAGCCTGGATGCTGTTCATTAGCTTCTGTGCTCAAGGCTAGCACTTGAACCAAACTCTACTTCCAGCTTTTTGCTGGTTAATTCAAGATAAGAGTCTCATGGAGTTTTCTGCCCAGGTTGGCTTTGAACCTTGATCTCTGCCTTGAGAATAAGCCACAGGTGCCTGGCTCTACACAGAAATTTGATTTGAATGGTTATTTCCACTGTCAGAAAAAAACACAAAACTGAAACATAATCTCCTTCATATTTTTGCTTTCTCTGCATGATTTTTTTTTCCTTCTTGAGATGGGGTCTTACTATGTTTCTAGGCTTGGCTCAAATTCCTGGACTCAAGGAAATGCTCTCTTCCCTCAGTCACCCAAGTAGCTGGGACAGGAAAGAACATTGTGCAGGATTTATCTATAACTTTAGATGGAGAATAAAGTCTAAAATGATAGCAAAACCCAGAAAAGCTTTCAATAAACATCCCACCTCTATATACAGCCAACACTCAGTGTTTCATTATTTTCTTATATTTTGTTAGGTAAAAATAAAATAACTGACAATCTCCACCTTTCACAGACATTTGAGAGACCATTTGTAAGTGATGGTGATTTTAAGCATTAAACTAGTAGAGATGGCAACTTTAAATAAAAGGAAACTAAGGAGATAGAGTGAATGTGAAATATCTTCAAAGACAAGGAATTAACATGGCAGTCATGCAGAATCCTAATGGTCTACTGAGATACTGCTTTGGGTCTACAGATGTGAAGAAACATAGGCAGCTGTATTTTAGTAGAAAACATGCATAAGGGTAGCTAACTAATCTTAATAAAGACAAGACCTGTACTCTGGAGAATGTTTCATTTTCCGAAGATCACTGAATACATGTAGTTTCTTGGCTCCAAAGGAAAGATTTGTCATGTTTGCACACAGATGCAAAGATGGAAAACTAACCAACAGATTCCTGTGCAGTTATCTCTAACACAATCTGCACGAAGACTGTGTTAGAACTGTCATTTCTCACCTTTGATAGGAGGAAAGCAGATGAGCAAAAGCTCACTCAAGTCATTTTGAGCTTTGTTCTAATTACAATGAAGTAGTAACTTCAAAACTGTATAATGTATTTAATTCTACAAAAGAAAATGTCCCCAAGTTCACTGGGAAGGGAAGGTTAAGAAGGGAATCATTTCAAATACTTCATGATTTTGACCAAAAAAAGTTGCTTGTTAAGGCACTACACATCTTCTTTGGTTAAATGATTTAACTATTGAAATCACTGAAAAAAAGAGGTAATACAAAACACACAGGTTGCATTCTTCTTCCAAACATAAGGTTCTTGTTCAGTTTCCATTAGCACAGTGTCTATGTGGCTCTAAGATCCTTTTAACTCATCAGAAAGCTGAAACAAAAGTATTTATCAAAGTATTAGTCTCTGAAGGAAAAGAAATATACCTCTAGTAAATAAGTAGTGTGCTGATTTGAACAGACTAATGTATATCAGACAATCTGTTACACGTATATCAGACAATTTGCGTATAAATGACAAAGTGAGAAACATTCAGAGATAAGCTAGTATTAGAAAGAAACTACACATAACCTCAAGTTAAAATGTCTCTTGAATAGAAATACTGATTCATAACTGAATCAACCCTAGTGATCAAATAATTAAATAATTCAATTAATTCTGTTAGAAGGCTCATCTCTAGTGCTTGGCTTAAATTTCTTTCTTTCTTTTGGTTGGTTGTGGGGCTTGAACTCAGGGCCTGGGTGCTGTCTCTGAGCTCAAAGCCTAGCGCTCTGCCACTTGAGCCAGTGTCACTTGCAGTTTTCTGGGGATTAACTGGAGATAAGAGTCTCACTGAGGGCACTGGTGGCTCACGCCTGTAATCCTAGCTACTGAAGAGGCTGAGATTTGAGGATGGCGGTTCAAAGCCAGCCCAGGCAGGAAAGTCCGTGAAATTCTTATCTCCAATAAACCACCAGAAAACCGGAAGTGGCGCTGTAGCTCAAGTGGTAGAGCGCTAGCCTTGAGCTGAAGAGCTGAGGGACAGCGCCCAGGCCCAGAGTTCAAGCCCCAGGACCAACAAAAAAAAAAAAAGAGTCTCACGGACTTTCCCGCCCAGGCTGGCTTTGAACTGCAACCCTCAGATCTCAGCCTCCTGAGTAGCTAGGATTACAGGTGTGACCAAATGGCATCGGCTGAGATCTTTATTTTTGAAATGTGTATTTTAAAATGAGTAAGTTCATCGAGTGCCATTGACTCATGCCTATAGTACTAGCTACACAGGAGGCTGAGATCTAAGGATTGTTTCCAAGCCAGCCCAGGCAAAAAAGCCCATGAGACACTGGTTCCAGTGGTAGAGTGTTAGCAGCCTTGAATAAAAGAAGCTCAGGGACAGTGCCCAGGCCCTGAGTTCAACCCCAGGACTGGCAAAAAAAAGAAAGAAATGCAAATCAAAACAACATTGATATTCCAACTCATCCCAGTTAGAATGGCCATTATCAAGAAAACTAATAACAAATGCTGGAGGGAATGTGGCAAAAAGGGAATGCTACTACACTGTTAGTGGGAATGTAAACTTGTTCAACCACTCTGGATAGCAGTATGGAGGTTCCTAAAAAGTCTAAATATAGAGCTTCCCTATGACCCAGCAGTCCCACTCCTGGACATTTACCCAAATGACTACAAACCAGCCTGCACTGATGCCACCAGCACAACCATATTCAATGCAGCATTATATATAACATAGCTAAAATATGGAATCAACCTAGATTGCCCCCCAGTGGATGAATGGATCAAGAAATGTGATATATACAGATATAGATAGATATAGCTAGATACAATATGCTTCCATCAGAAATAATGATGTTGCCCTATTCGTAAGAAAATGGAAAGACCTGGAAAAAAGTACATTAAGTGAAGTAAGCTAGACCCAAAGAAACATAGGTTACATGGTTTCCCTCATTTGTCATAACTAGAATACATCTATAAATTTACAAGTTAATCCAATGGATAGAAGACAAATAATTACACTTGGACATGATTAATTAAACAGAACTCTAAGCATCACACAGTGAGAAAAAAAAGGAGGATATTCTTTTTTTACTTTTTATTTTTTAATTTTTTTGTCAGTCATGGGGCTTGAACTCCAGGCCTGGGCACTGTCCCTCAGCTCTTCAGCTCAAGGTGAGTACTCTACGACTTGAGCCACAGTGCCACTTCTGGTTTTCTGGTGGTTTATTGGAGATAAAGAGTCTCATGGACTTTCCTGCCTGGGCTGGCTCTGAGCAGAGATCCTAAGATCTCAGCCTCCTAAGTAGCTAGGATTACAGGTGTGAGCCACAAGCACCTATCTTCTTCTTTATTTTGTGGCAGAGCCTGGGGCTTGAACTCTGGCTGTGGACTTTGTCCCTGAGCTCCTTTTTGCTCAAGGCTACTGCTCTTCCACTAGAGCCACAGGGCCACTTGCTGCTTTTAATGAGTAGTTTATTGGAGACTCTTTTTTTATTTTATTTTATTTTATTTTTTTGGTCCGGTCGTGGGGCCTGAACTCTGGGCCTGGGCGCTGTCCCTCAGCTCTTCAGCTCAAGGCTAGCACTCTACCACTTGAG